TATATATATATATATATATATATATATATATATATATATATATATATATATATATATATATATATATATATATATATATATAGTGTCACTGTCTCTCCTCAGCCAGTCAAGACTGCTTGATACACTGTTCAACTGTCATTCATGCCTCAGAACCCCCTATTTAAAATACCTGGTAGAGTCAGATTTAAACAACGCGAGGCTGACATAACAGAAATCACTCGCATTAAAAGAGTGGAGAAAAAAAGCAGATGTAACAAAAATATTCATGATGAACAGGACAGACTGAAATGCATCCATAAGTGATGGCTTGGATGTTAAAAAAAAAACCTCAGTAAAATAATAAATGATTATCCAATTACATTTCTAATGAAAACTGAGATTTTTTTTTAATCTATGTCTATTAATCACCTTCCTTTTTATAAAATGACATTTTGACTAGCTGCGTGTTTACCAGCTGCAGGTTAATCCTAGCATTGTGGTTTGAATGATAAATGCTGAAGTGATGATAAATGATGAGCATGGCTCATAGTTAATAAAATGTTCGCTTTTTAAATCAAGGTATTTGTTTTATCCAGTCCACTACCATTACCCTTCATACCTGCTTGCAATGCACTACAATCTGACCACAATACCACACTAGTGTTTATTATAAGGACTGCATAGTTTTTACACATCGTTTAACATCACACATTTAAAGTACCCGTGAAATCAGAAACACAAGTGCTACATTCACAATGTATTTCAGAGACTTTCTCAATACTTCTGTGTCTCAATAAACTCTTTCAGGGAGTGTTTAGTTTGAGCTCAGTGTACAATATCAGGACAAAAGCTTAATGGCTTTAACGTATCATTTTCAACATTCCAATTATTAGAGGAGGTAAACCAAAAGTTAGCCACGGAACTGTCATGCTAAGTTACTTAACTAGCTAACATAGATAGTGGTAGCAAATAAAGTTCTGATTAGTGATTGTTGAACAAAATCTTGGGTGTTAAATCAATTAACTCGAAAGGCTCAGATACGGAAATGCCATTCATGTCTACCTGTGACAAATGCAAGCTAGCTTGCTAGCAGTTAATTAGCTGGCTAGCTAACTTGGCTAATTACGGTTATGGTATATTTTAACTGGTGTATTGTGCAACTGCTACTAAACAATACACACAAAATATGGCAACGTTAATTGAGTCACTGATACACACTTGGGTTTACCTGTGAATTTGTTTACAAGCAGTTAATTAGCAAGCTGGCTTTTTTTTGGATTGAAAGACTTTGGTACATTTCATGCATATTTATGTAAATTGACTTTTTTTTTTTTTTTTTACTGGATGAAAGTTGTAGAGGTTTCCAAGATTTACATTTATGGCATTTGGCAGACGCTGTTATCCAGAGCGACTTACATTTATTTCATTTATACAACTGAGCAGTCGAGGGATAAGGGCCTTGCTCATGGGCTCAGCAGTGGCAGCTTGGCAGTGCTGGGATTTGAACTCATGACCTTCTGAACAGAAGTTCAACATCTTAACTACTGAGCTGCCACTGCCCCTCCAAGAGCCTCCATAACTTTTTTTTTAGTAGTAGGTGTAGTTTTAAGACACATAATGCTGTGTGCTTTATTTAGTAGCACACCACAGTGTACTAAATTGTCTGAATTAATGTGATCACACACAGATTAAGTGATGTTTTTGGCTGTTCAGGTGTTCTGTGGGTGAGATCACGGATGCGATGAAAGCTGTTTTCGGGGAGCACAAGGCCAGCACACGCATGGTGAGTGGAGCATACCGCAGCGAGTTCGGTGAGCACGAGGAGATCACACTCGCACACAGTCGGTAAGATGCTGAAGATTTTCTTTATATTAACGTTCCCCACTCTTAAACGTTTCAATCCCCAGAGGGCTTAGCTTTTACGAGTCATTCTGCCTGGACTGTCAGGCAGCTTTAAAGCGTTCTTAATCTCAAGTCTCATGGGTTTAAATGTTTTTTTGAACATTGGCTATAAAAGCAGCACTTGAGCACTTGAGTTAAAAAAAAAAAAAAATCCTTTCCTAATCCTCTCCCAGGGTGTGTGTGTGTGAGTGAGCTGTCTTGCATCCTCCTGTGGTTTATTTTTCAGGGTCATGCAGTTTAAGAAGCATGAAGGCAGAAATCCTCGTCTGCTGGTTGCCAAAATGGGACAAGACGGACATGACAGAGGGGCAAAGGTCATCGCCACGGGATTCGCTGACCTGGGCTTTGATGTGGACATTGGACCACTTTTTCAGGTGAGTCACAAATCTGCAAAATGTGTTATAAACTGTTAGAGATTTATATTTGACATAAATTACAATTCACAGTTTAATTGCTGAGAGGTGCACCTTTATTATTCTTATATTATATTATATATGTTATATTCTTATCAAGCAATAACGGTAGCTTCTGTACAACCCATGGCACAGAATAATCAAAGAACAATATACACGGGTGTTTATTTTTATTTTTCGCTTTATATTTTTGGGCATGTGATCTTTATGCTTTGTGACAGCACTGTGCATCCATGCACAAATTGCCTACATTGTTTTTTTTCCCTCTGTTGGATGTTTTTCCTCATGGGTTCCTGTGTGAAAATGTGTAACATTCCTTTTTGCTCTGTTTTGGGGAATTTTGAAACAGCTGCTGTTGGAATCTGTTCATGTGTATACAGTAAGCATGGCCTGTTGTGGTAGAGTGCAAAGATCCAAAAGACACTCAAAGAACTGAAAGGACTCCGCGATCTAATATTGATTAGTCTGCCTGGTGAATAGTATTACAGAATGGACTGTGACTTTCCAGGATTTGTCTCAATTTAACATCAGTCACTGTGTCTTTTGTATATCGGAACATTTTTATATTGTGGTTTGGATCAAAACACATTCCAATGCGTAAGGTGGCATTTTTCCCAGGAACTAATTGTGGTCTTTCAGCCATGTCCAATTAGTCCTTGTGTTAACATATTTTTAACAGCTAACGTGGGTTCAGGTTAGTAATAAGATACTATACACCTGTTTTATACATCTGCTTATTGAACATTAAATTTAACAGGATGCTTAATAAGGTAGGCTATTCTTAATTAAGTACTGTTTATATTACATGAGTTGTAATAAACATTTAAACTTAGCTTGCCGGAAAGGCTGCCTGCTGCTCCTCTGGTTCAGGTAAAATCTAGAGCAGTGGTGTCAGACATGTGGGCTGGGATGGGCCTGATGTAGGTCCACCAAATGAATTTTAAATCTGTGTTCTAAATTAAAATCATCATGTGTACCGTAACTGAATTGAAAGATTTTAAAACTCCATAGCAAATGCTCTGCTGCATCCAGGCAGCCTTTGATCGCTGATTCAAACTGGGCTTAAGTAATCACTGCTGTCACTGCTGTGATTGGGAAGTTTATATTCGCTAATGTGTGTGTGTGTGTGTGTGTGTGTGTGTGAAGCCCTGTGCCTGAAGCCCTGAGTCATGCCAGTGAAACCTTAGCCATGTTTAATTTGGTTACATTCTAATGCACAGCTTTTGTTTTGTTATACAGTAGTAAAAATCTGAATGGTTCACACACACTGTCATTAAGTTTCACTTATTGAACTTTTATAATGTTGAATGTTGTCAGTTGAAAATGGAAACCTAAGGTACACATTCAGGCAATGCATATTTTTGCTGTGTCAAAAATATATCGTATCGTGACACCACTGTATCGTATTGAATTTGAATTTTTTTGTATTGTTACACCCCTTTTAGATACCTCAGTCAAAAGCTAGCAATCTCTCAGAGCTTATCAAAGGTTATTCCCTTTTTTTCTTCTTTTTTTTTAATACCTCCTTGTTCTTTGAGCTTTGACCCAGGCATGTTTGTTAGAGAACCATGGAGAAAGGGAGTAAAAGAAATCTTTACATTCCATCTCAATTACTCTGACTTATTTTATGATAATTTTCAAATGAAACCCTTACTTAACATCTGCACTACATTTGCACCATTGAAGAATGAGCTTCATTTGCCCAACCAGTCTGTGGGTGTATGAAGGTCAAACAAAAGCTCTGAGATGCCTGTGTTCTGTCTCACTGTATTCTGTTGTTTTCACCATGACAGACCCCACGAGAGGTGGCTCAGCAGGCTGTTGATGCAGATGTGCATTGCGTAGGTGTCAGCACACTGGCGGCCGGACACAAAACCCTCGTCCCCGAGCTCATTAAAGAACTGCGCAGTCTAAACCGGCCAGACATCCTGGTCATTTGCGGTGGAGTAATCCCCCCACAGGTAAAACATGACTGTCTAAACAACCAGTAATAAACAGATCAAGCTGTCTAGAATGATCAAGTTTGATTTGGGCTGTGACTTTCCAGAGTTTGTCTCAATTTGACATCTATAACAATGCCTAACTTAATGTTTTCTCAAACTGTAGTATCAGTTAAACACTGCTCAGTATATGTAGCAAGTTGATTTTCCATAGCTGAGCTGAACATTTTCAAAATTCAGTTCCTGCCATTGTCTTGGTAGCAAATCAGCTATAGCAGTTAGCATAATTCAAACAATTAGTGAATTATATGGTGAAACAAATCACTCACTGAGCACTTTATTAGGAACACCTGTACACTTACCCATTCATGCAATTATCTAATCAGCCAATCATGTGGCAGCAGTGCAGTGCATAAAATCATGCAGACATGGGCCAGCAGCTTTGGGGAATGTTCACATCAACCAATAGAATGGGGAAAAATGTGATCTCGACCGTGGAATGATTGTTGGTGCCAGACGGGTTTGGTTGGAGTATTTCAGAAACTGCTGATATCCTGGGATTTTTACGCAAAACAGTCTCTAGAGTTTACTCAGAATGGTGCAATAAAGAAAAAACATCCAGTGTAGCGGCAGTTCTGCGTGATGGTGCAGCATGATAATGCACCATGCCACAAAGCAAAAGTCATCTCAGACTGGTTTCAAGAACATGACAATGAGTTCAGTGTTCTGCAGTGGCCTTCTCAGTCACCGGCTTTGAATCCAATAGAACACCTTTGGGATGAGCTAGAACTGGAGATTTGCAGCATGAAAATGCACCTGAAAAATCTGCAGGAATTGTGTGATGTAATCATGTCAACATGGAGCAGAAGCACAAAGGAATGTTTCCAACATCTTGTGGAGGCCCTACCCAGAATTAGTATAGTGTTCCTAATAAAGTGCTCTGTGAGTGTATATTCCATTGTCTGTTGTTCCTCTAACATGGTTTCATATGTACGCTACCAATTTTGATACCGCTTGTGGAAAAAAAAATTAAAGATGATTGTCATGGTATAGTACAGATTGCTGTGGATGCATAAAACAAAATGTGTCTTATTACTGCTGCTAATTAATAATAATAAAAAAGTGTATTATTACTGCTACTATTGTAATAGTTCTTTTCCTGTGGGTGAGCAACTATAGATAAATAAAATCTGAATGCAAAATGCCTAATATCAAGATGCTGGCTTCAAAACAGGAACAACAATGGTTACAGTAATAATAAATACATATGCCCACCGTCTTTTGTAAATGTTGCCCCTGGTTATATAGGATTGCTAATCTTGTATAGCCTAGCTACAGTCATGGGAAAAAGAAGGTATAAATGAATGCCCTCAAACATCAGTGAACTGAAATAATGTTGTAAAGAAGACTGGGTCACAATTTCTCCAAAATGATATGAGAGACTGATAAACAACTACAGAATATGTTATTGGTAATTCTACATGTTACTAAAGTAATGGTGGTTCTGTATGTTACTGAATTATAAGGTGTACTTATTTTTCCCACCTGGTTTTTCAATGCTGGTTTACTTTTTGGGAAAAATGACACTGAAAGTGGTTGTGGGTTTTTTTTTTTTCTTCCACCTGAGGTTATTTGTTTATAGAAGTTGGTGAGGACCATACAATCATTTATTACGCCCTGATAAATAAAAACTAGAATAGAATTGAAGGAGGGTGTACTTTCTTTTTCCCATGAATGTATACAGTATTTAAGCAATATCACATGAGCAAGAGTGCAGTTATACTGAATGTCAGAACGGCTGTGATTCGGCCGCAAGCATGAGCCCGTAGGACGAGTGCCGTAGGTTGTTCAGCTTCTTGTCTGCATGCAACCATATAACCTTGATTACGTTACAGCATAATCTGACTGTGGTGTGATGTGACTAATTAATCAACTAAGTCTAAAACTTTACGCAGCACAGCTCCCACTGTAGCCAGGTTGTTTTTTGCTAGTCTTTATACAGTTATAGAGTAAACTGACATGGTAGAGCACGTATGCAGAGGCACAGTTGACTCCATTTATTTAATTAATTAGCCTCAGGCTTAAGACATAGGAAATGTATTAGGAGGGCTTCTGGTGGGTTTTCTGGATAGGATTCTGGGACTATAAGAGCTACATGTATTAGTTTAAGTGTGCCACATGCAGGAAACTCAACTGCGTATCATCTTGTGATTGTTTCTGCAGAAATGGAGTACTTAGAAATGTTCCTGCTTTATTTCAAATGAATAACTATATATTTGCATCATATGTCATGCAGGACTACGAG